AAATTAGTCAAGAAAACCAAAAAGACACGAATAAGAACACACGATGATTCAAAACTGACGTCGAATGATAAATAATCCACACCCTCAGAAGAGCTCTATGAAGAACTGCTACTTTAGAGGATGCATTTGATGGGTTTTCAGCATTCTAACACTCCTATGGTGTACATGCAACCCTAGAAACCTTGGATCTATGTTTGACTAAGATACATGCAAATAATTATTTTTCCAAGGTTCTTATCCTAACTAGCATGGCATGGGGTATTTGAATCAAATAAAACTAGTAGAATTACTTACCTTGTAGTAGTAGTTGATTGCTTGGAGAGCCTAGCACCAATAATGTGGATGCCTCAAATGGAAGTCACAAATCACCACAAACTTGGAAACTTGAGAGAATAGTCACAAACTTCTTGAAATCGGCCCTCTTAGTTTACACACATCAACTAGTGCAATTTCAAGAACCAAAGCCTCCTTTATATAGTGTGGTGGATTAGGGTTACATCCATGTAAACCCTAATACCCTTGTCTTTTCATTTCCATGAGATCCATGGGTTAAAGCTCCATGGAGTATCCATGGACTTTCCATGCAAGCCTAGCCCATTCCAAATAAGCATTAGCCCACACTATATAAATACAAGAGCCCATATTTAATTAGTCATACTTTTGATCTCTAAATTAATTCTAAATTAATTATAGATCAACACTAATTAAATAATATGATTTTATATTAATATATTAGAACTTATAATATATTAATAAATCATAACTTATACTATTCTCAAAAGATTATCCGTAAATTGTTCGGGTGAAGTGCAACCCAAATGGACCATGCCGGGTCGGGTCAAGTACATACCAAATATAGTTATGGACTTAGACACTATCTCCAACAGCATTAGGGTTACAGTTCAAAATCAGAGAATCATCAATATCTAGCCTTATTAATATAATGCATGCATGCATTATATATACTCAACCCTAAAAACTAAAGACGGTTGGACAGGCCCAAACCGTGACTACATATGGACCGAACTAACTAAGCCCAATGGCGCAATCCATAAACTCAACATGCACCTTCTTCGATAGAGCCCTAACATGGTGGAATAGCCATGTTAATTCACTGAGCCTATCTGTGGCTAACTCAATAGGTTGGGAGAACCTAAAAGAGATAATGTTGGAAGAATACTGCCCAAGAGACAAAGTTCAAAAGCTGGAACAAGAACTATGGGAGCACACCATGGTTGGCTCAGACATAGTGACCCACACGGACAGGTTTAGCGACCTGGCAACACTATGCCCTGGGATGGTTACCCCGGAGAGTAAGAAGATAGAAAGGTACATCTGGGGTTTATCTACCCCGATCTAGGGGGATGTACTTTCCTCTAACTCAACAACCTTCGATAGCGCCAAACACCTGGCCCAGAGACTCATTGACCATGGAGTCCGCCATGGCGTGGTGGTCCCTGTTCCCGAGCCATCAAGGGGAGAGGATTATAAACAAAAGTCGGGGGACAAGAGGAAGGAGCGAACAACACAGGAAACCCTGCAGGAGCCACAAATGGTTACTGTATACGCCGCCACAACACCTGCTACTCCAACATCTGTCAGCTGATATGTTGGAACTCTCCCGAAGTGTGGTGAGTGTAACTACCACCATACCGGAGTATGTCGGGAAATGCAGTGCTTGAATTGCCTCAGGAGCGCGCATATTGCTCGGTTCTGCAGGGCGCCGGCACAACCGATCTCCAAAGTCCGCGGAGTAGAAGTAAACCAGGCCTGCTATGGCTGTGGTGAGATAGGGCACTACAAGAGGGACTACCCGATAACGAAGAACTCAAGAGTGGATGGACGAATTCTGATGATCACCGCAGGAGAAACTATCCCGGAGTCACCAGCGTCCAACGATACGTCTTCGAAATAAGAATTACTTTAAAATTTAATTTATATTTATATTAGATTAAAACTTGGGGAAACATTTAAAAGTAAGTATAATAACTCACTCATCTGAACAAGTCACATCATTCATAAGAGAACTAAAGATCCGTACAGGTAGGCTATGATGGCTTAGTATGTACATCGGGGTTGTACATAGCTAAGATTTTGCAGGCTTAGAGTGAGTGATTCTGCCTCATTTCCTGTTCCTTGTTTGGTTGTGGATTTAGGGCAGAGTCACTCAGTCGACCATCTTATTCATCTTAATTATACATAACTTGTATATGCCAGGCGATCATAGAGGTACCGAGGAGGATCATAATATAGATTTTCGACACTAGTTATCAAAACATTTTCACTGTTAGTACTCGCTCATCGCGGTAGGATTTGTGGCAGTGGTAATATCAAGGAGAAAACTGAAAGCACTAGAAAGTCTACACATAATACATTGTCGAACACACTCGAGATACACCATTGTATAACAAACGTGTCTTTCAAATCGGCCTAACATTTGTTTTTGTAAAGAGTCTGTCATCATCTTTCGTCATGAATTGGCGTGGTCCTCACCATACCAAGTTCATTGTGTTTCGAAAACCCATCGCCTTAACCATCAAATTAATGAAACCCTCGTCATTCGTAACGACAACCCGACCTAGACCTTAGTATTGTCTCTTGTCTTCTAAACCCCGAAGTACTCATGCGAGGAGTACCTTGCCCTCCAAAACCTTGCCACCGTATACTCAGCAGACCTTCCCGAACTACCACTCGTCCAACAGATCAAGTTCAAGCACAAAGGCTAAGGACGAATACAGCCCACCTATCACTATTAAGTGTATACGCGAGAGTGGTATGTAATTATGATTATGCAGATGTAGTATGTGTGTTTCCGCCCTATCTCCTGTTCCTTGTTTGGTTGTGGACCTGCGGCAGAGTCGCACATCCGACCGTCTTACTAATCTTAATTACATACGAATTGTATACACGAGGTGATGATAGATGGACCAAGTATGAATATTATCATGAGCGTTAGGGGAAAGTTGCCCAGGTCTACGAGTGGGTATTCTGCCATTCAGAGAAGCACAACCCCAGGAGTACTGCTAGGAAAGCTAATTTCGGGATGAAATTCCATCTAACGGGGGGATGATGTGACAACCCGTAAATTCTATCTAGTAAAGTCAATCCAATCAACCAAATGTCAGACTTAATTCTATTGCCTTTTAGCCTTGTTAAGGGTCATTCTAATGAGTTCTAAGCCCAGTACACTTATGGATTAAGTGTTTTGAAGTATTAGCTCGAGATCAGAAGGTTGCACCCGAACCAGAAAAACCAACACTTGAGGTTCACGACCGTAAAACATGTTCACGGCCGTGAACACTCTTCTAGCCTTGAACATCATGCATATATATGAAATTTTGTCACTTTTCCTTCACTTCTTCTCCTCTTGGTCGTGAACTACCCTTTCTCTCTCAAGTATCATCAAGTGAAAGCTCTCATTTCACTCCCAAAACGTAAGCATCTCATCCTTTACTTGTTCATACTTAACAATCCCTTTGATCTATCCTTAATCCATCACCCTTAGACACCATCTTCAAGATCTTCAAGATCTTGAAGGGTTTACGGCCGTAAAGCCTTCATGAGGGCCGTAAACCCTTCATAGGATCATGACCATGGCCATAAAACCTTCTTAAGGCCAAGCTTGGGCAGTAAACACTTCAAGCATCCTTGGCCGTGAACACTTCTTGGCCGTAAACACTTCCTAGGGTGGCCGTAAACTCCTTATTATCAATCACATGTGATTCTAACACTTCATCTCAAGTGTTTCCTAGTTCCTAAGGTTGTTTCGCTTCATGATTAGTTGTTTTAAGCACTAATTATATACATATATGTATCAATATATGTCATTTAGGACTTGTTTGTGCCTCGGGACTTCATTTGTGGAACTTCTCATCCTCAGACGAATCTTCAATTGAATCACCCACATAAGGTGAGTTCATACCCCTATAATCAACCTTTTAAATGTTTTAAATGCTTTTAAGGGGGGGGGAATAAAAGTTGAACACAATGATATTGTGTAAATGTTTATCTGTGATAACCATCACATTAAAGGATTTCTTATGCTTTTATAAGTGATCAAATCAATTCAAAAACTCTTTTAAGTTATGTCACTTGGTTGTTTATAAAACTTTGTTTTTAAAGTACAATCATAACTCAGTAGATAATCGAGTCTTTTCTACAAATCAGAGACAGTTCAAAACAAACATACTAGTAAACTATAATAGGTATAGTTTAGGGGTTCAAAACATACAATAACAAGAACAGGAAGGAACACACGATAACAAGAACAAGATAACAATAATGTGAAACCACTACTTCACGACATAGCAATATACTTGTTATGTCGCGTTTTGTAACCAAAGTCTCCTGGACGGAGAGCGGACATTGTGTGTATAGATCTATACGGGACTGACAATCCTTCATCCCGACTGTTCACAACAGCTTGGCCTGCAGGCCAAGGGGTGACAAATGTCACATCAGTTTCGACGCCAGTTTTTAGGAGTGCTACTTATTTAGACTTGCCACCTGTATTTCTTTGCTATGAATCATCTGAACGACTTAATTTAGGATGCTATAGTTTTGACTTTTGATTATCTAAGATGCATAATACAACTTGTAACTCTTGATCATTTTTCATCTATTAAACTGCAAGATATAAGGGTAACCCTCTACACACTATGCTTTAGTAATTGGTTCAACATCACTTTTTCCTGTTGCACATATCATTGCCTATGAAGTTTAGCATTTGATTCAAATGGGTTATTGAATTGTGTTCAGTAACATGAATTTGTTTAACAGTGAATGGGTTATTGAATTTCAAATGAGAATTTGTTGAACAGGGGATTTCAGATGGGAATTTGTTTAACAGCAACATCATTTTTTTAATCTGTTAAGTATGAATCTGTTAATTATAAATCTGTTAAGTTTTTTTTTTGAAATCTGTTAAGTATGAATATGTTGTGTATTTGTTGAAATCTGTTAAACATGAATCTAATAATTTTTTTAATGTGTTGATGTGATGATTTAACATTTACAATCAATGACTTCGAATGCTTCGACTACACCGTCTGTGGGATCAACCGCCACCGATACACATAAACGGAATTCGGATGATGTTGGTTGGGAATATGGTTTTATCCCGGATAAAAGCAACTTGCATAGATTGAAATGTAAATTGTGTGGAAAAGTGTTTGGCGGAGGGATTACTAGAATGAAACAACATATTGCTCATGTGAAGGGGAATGTATCTTCATGTCCAAGTTCTACAAAAGATGATCAATTGAAATGTCGAAATTCTATTAATGAAGGAAAGTTAAAAAAGAAAGCTAAACTTTCGCAGATGAGGCCTTAAGATTTGAGGTGAGACAAGAATTTCATGATAACGTGGATGGAGTAGAATCTTCTTTGGGGTTGAAAGCACCAAATATTATAGGCCCCATGGATGGCTATGCAAACAAAATAAACCCCGAAGAAGATTTGAATGTGAGAAAGGGAAAAAATGTTGATCTTAACAATATTTTCCGGAAAGAAAGAATACTCACGGTCCATAAGTACATTAGTAGGTGGGCATATGAAGCGCAATTCATTTTCATGCCTTCGAAAAGGATAGCTTTAAAATGATGTTAGAGGTTGTTGGCCAATTTGGAACCGGGCTTCCACCTCCTACTAGATATGCTTTGAGCGACACGCTTCTAAAGCATGAGGTTGAAAGAACAAAAAACTTGTTAAAAAAAACAAACAAGAATGGAAAGAGGATGGATGCTCGATTATGACAGATGGTTGGTCTGATCGAAAGAGAAGAGCATTATGAATTTATGTGTTAATTCGAAGATGGATACTGTTTTTTTTTATCTTCAAAAGAATGTTCCAACAAAGCACATACAAGCCAAAAAATATATGAATATGTGGAGTCTTGGCATTCAACAAGTTGGTCATGAGCATGTTGTTCAAATTGTGACCGATAATGCCACGAATAACATGGGGGCGACAAAGTTGCTAAAAGAGAAAATACCATCTATTTTTTGGACATCATGTGCGACACATACCATTAACCTTATGCTTGAAGGTACTTACGTTATTTTGTTTATTTATTGTATTTATTACTTTATACTTTTATTTTGTTTTAAAATGTTTAATTTTTTACTATAATTTGTTATTTAATCGTGTTTATTTCTTCAAGGTATCGGTGCACTCCCAAGGTTTAAGAAAATTCTAGATCAAGCAAAGAAGCTAACCATATTCATTTACGCTCACCACAAAAGCTTGGCGATGATGAGAAGTTACACCAACAAAAGAGAAATTATCGCGACCGGAGGGCACGAGATTTGCTTCCACCTTTCTAACATTACAAAGTTTGGCCGAAAAAAAAGGAGCAACTAAGACATATGTTCTCTAGCACCGAATGGGAGGAATGCAAATTTCTAGTACGCCTAAAGGATTGCCTCATATAAAACGTGTCAAGTGTCCAATTTTGGTCCGGTGTTGCACAATGTTTAAAGTGTTCTCCCCTTTGGTGAAAGTCCTTCGAATGGTTGACGCGGATTGGAAGCCCTCAATGGGTTTTGTTTACGGGGAGATAAAGTTGCTAAAGAAGAATTATCACATCATTGGGGCGGTAAACGAGAAAGCTTACAAGCCTATTATAGATATCAAAACAAAAAGATGAAAGGTTCGTATAGATTCAAGTTTACATTTAACGTCTTATCTTTTAAATCCGTATTATCATTATAAGGATCCACAACTCCATATGATCCCGATATAATGAATGCGGTTCTTGATTTTTTTGATACATTACTTTGTGACAACTTTGAGATGCAAAGGCAAGGTTGTAACAATTGACTTGCGAAAGTACAAGTAAAAAGTTGATAGATTTGGTTTGCGATCTTGCAATTAAAAATTGTAGGGTGAATGATGTCGAGTTTGATCCGGGTAATTCGTTTTACTTTTAGTTATCTATTTTAGTATTTTATAAAATTTAGATATTTATCGATTAATAATGTGTTTTTGTTTACAAAATTTATAGCTAGTTGGTGGGGACTATTTGGTGGCACAACTCCTCATCTGACAAAGATTGCAATGAGGATTCTTTCTTTGACTAGCAGTTCATCGGGTTGTGAAAGGAATTGGAGCACGTTTGGAAGGGTTAGTAATATAAAGTATTAAATTTATATTTTATAAAAATTTAAATATTAAGCACATTTTAATTTTTTGTTGTGTTTACATTTCTAGGTACATACAAAAATACGAGATAGATTGGAGGAAAGCAAATTGAACAATCTTGTTTATGTTCATTCCATGCTAATTTAATGGAAAAAAAAAAAACCAAAGCGAAAAGATAGAAATATGGAGGTGTTGTTAGCAAATGATTCACTCTCGGCTCAACAATGGATGTTGATCTAGATGAAGTAGACCCCGAAACGGTTAATGAAGATCTAGGAACTGATGATAATCAGCACCCCGAGAAAGTCCAAGAACAAGGGAACTTTTTGAATTTCGATGAAGATTTTGAGTCCGAGAGTGAGGAGCAAAAATGTTAGAAGAAGACGAATATGAGTCGGATGGGGTTCAAATAATGGAAGTGTGTGGAGAAGATTAGAAGATAATATGTTTTATTTTTGTGTTATTTAAACTTATTATGAACTTGTTGGATGATGATTTGGTGTGTTTGTTGAACTTATTATTAACCTATTATGTTGTGTTTTGGTCTTTGGATGATAATTGTTGTGGTTATTAAACTGTTATTAAACTTTTATGCTTATTTACTTATATTATTATGATTAAATTTAGATTTATTAATTTTTGAATAATTTTTTTTAATAATTAATGGTCCCCGATTAATCCCCGCCTAGCCGATTAATCCCTTAACCCTAGTCCACCGCCGAGCTACTACCGTCAAGCGATTTTTTGCAACCTTGATATATATATATATATATATATATATATAGATATATATATATATATATATATATATATATATATATATAATATATATATTTCGTATACACCAAGTAATCAGAAGGGGTATCAGGTATGGGTCATGTCATAGCATACAAATTGAATATACCGTTTTCTAGTACAAAAACATACTTTTCAGATAGGACATCTGGTAAACTAAACTAGAAACTTATCAGTAAAGGGGTTTAATTTTTCATTTTATTAAACAGTATAACTTAAAGGATCTTTAGTGGTTAATTCTATATACCTTAGTTTATACATCATGGTTATATATAATTAATATCCGACAGGCAGTTGGATGTGTGATTTCCGCCTTCCTTACTTCCTGTTGCTGTGTTGGTTGTGGCTTAGGGCAGATTCACCCATTTAAAACTGTCCGTTCGATATTAGATTAATATAGCTATATAAACTAAGTGATAATAGAAAGAACTATTATGGTTATCATTTTTACAAAGGAAATATATGATTTTGTTAAAGAATGTTTTCATCAAATATAAAGACTATTACAGTTAACTCCGTAGGTACCAAATGAATACGCTGGGGTTACATACAGTGAAGACCTAACAAACAATGGGATGTTTGACTTCCGCCTCATTCCCTGTTCATTGTTTGGTTGTGGGCTTAGGTTAGATTCGCACAATTGATTGTCTGTTTACTCTAAATTGTGTATAACATGTATCCATTTAGTACTCATAGAAGGAATTGTAGAGTCATTTTTATTTTCATTCATCACATCAGAAAATATAGGATTTTTGTCTGGAGGAACAGACGAACTTTTCTAAAAGAACTTACAACTTACTTTTCATCACTTAAATACTTATGAACTCACCAGCTTAAATGCTGATCTACTCTTTTTTCAAAATAACTTGTATTCTCAGGAAAACTAGTAGACAGGTACGCGCACTGGATACAGAAGATGGAGTATAGTAGCTTCATGTCTTGTTTTGTT